CTAATACGAATACGAATAAAATAAAAGTTACCTCCTTATACAGTGGAAAAACACGTAATTTTTTAATGGCCGAAAACTACATGAAAACTGCCGTAGAAGCATGAAAAAATCGATTATTTCCACTATCGATGGGAGTTGGGAAATGCTATGTCAGTCTTGGCCTTCCCACTAACTGGGAGCATGTGCATGTAAATTTTGGTGCAAATCCGTCGAAAATTGCGGCCGTGTATTCGTTACACACACATCCTGCCTTTTATATATATATACTAGCAGTAGAGCCCGGCGTTGCCCGGGGATGTAACAGTAAGAGATAGATCAAGTATCGACCATCATAAAGACTGAAAAATAAAATTGACAAAGGTTATTGTTTAAGGTTGACGGACACGCATGTCTTAATTAGTTTGTTTTTTGTTTTTTTTTTACGAATTGGTCAAACCCAAACTCAAACAAAAAAAATTGTTTTCAATCGTTATGAGTCTATCGATTGAATAGAATTTTATTATAAACAATTGTCTTGTAAATGGAATTTTTAAAGCATTCTGAATGTAAATATAAAGAAAAAGTGTGCAAGACAATAAGAAACACTACCTGCCAAAAAAGTTTTGTTGAAATCGGTTGAACAATGTAGGAAATCCGATCCCATATATAAACACACACACACACAAACAACCTGGGTTTTATATTAAGTATAACTCGATATGAGTTGTCCCCCTTTCATTCTGGTGACAAAATCGTGTTTTATCGTGTTTTCAAATTGATTTTGTGCAAAAATAATTGTTTTTCCAATTTTTGGCGCTGTCAGAACCACCACAAGGTAATTTTACGTAGTCCTGTGAAGTTTTGTTGAAATCGGTTGAAAAATGTAGGAAATTCGATCAAATATATAAACGTACAGACACACACACACACACACACAATCTGCGTTTTATAATAAGTAAGATATATATATATATATATATATATATATATATATATATATATATATATATATATATGTGTGTGTGTGTGTGTGTCTATGTGTGTGTGTGTGTGTTTTCTATTTTCCGGACACGGTCGGCAATTGACATCATTGAATGTCGTATTCTCTTTTATGCCTCAATGATTTGGAACAGTGGGTGGCTATTATCCACGTATTTTCGACAAGTATGTGGCGAACAGAGGTTCGTAGGTCTCCGTGTGTGTTTAAATGTGTCCTAATGGAGCTGTCGTCAGATAGACGCAAAGTGACTCTCCTTGATACATATGAGGTGGTATGTCAATTATAATTATTATTCATGAATTTGTTCTCTTAAACACTGCGAGAATCAAAGTCTAGAGGACAAATATTATTAATGAATTCACATGCCACGTAAGAAACTGCATTCCCGATAAAAAGAAATCCGGAACGCAAAAAATAAAATAAATATACATCAAGAAATATTAATAAATAACTTAGCTGCAGTACCTTGTAAGTTGTCTGCCATAAGAATAATATTAAATAAATAAATAAAATAAAAGTTACCTCCTTATACAGTGGGAAAACACGTAATTTTTTAATTTTGAAATCTAGAACGCTGTATAATGCAGTAAAACGAACAGCTGAAACATTTTGAATTTACAGCAATATATATATATATATATATATATATATATATATATATATATTGATCTGTCTGCATGGCTAGAAATGTCAATAAGTGCCCTGCCTAATATTACCCAAAATGATTCAGCATCTATATATCAACATAACGCATTTCATTGTCAGTACTCTACATTGATTTGTGAATATATATATATATATATATATATCATATAGTTTGAACATTATACAGGGTGCAATGATTAAATTGTCAACATTTTGTATTTTTAATTTCGCGCATGCGCATTATTTGTCGAATGTACAGTATAGTACGGTCAGATGGAAGACGTCTGGAAGAAAGAAAAATTGAAACAGCATGCTGTACTTCTTGGTATTCGCACCGGAAGATCCAATACGAACATTTCCGAGTGTTTTGGTGTCAATCTAAGTACAGTGCAATGGATTCGGAAAGAGTTGGATGAGTCTAATGGTGATTACAAAGGTGTTTACAGTGATCACTAGTGATGGCGACGTTATGTCTCCATTCATCTTCCCACAAGGCCACAGAATAAAGACGGAGGCCTACATCAAGTGCCTTATGGAGGTAGTGCGGCCCTGGGTCAAGAGGGTGGCTACTGAAAGACCCTATGTCAGGCAACAGGACACTGTACAATGTCACACAAGCAGGAGAACACATGGCTGACAGATAATTTCTGCGACTACATCACCCCTTACATCTGGCCACCTAACGTCCCAGACTTCAAACCCATAGATTATTATCTATGCGGTGTAGCTGAACGAGAGACCAAGAAATCTCCTTGTAATACCAGATATGAATTGAAGACTGGCGTCATACACAAACTTGAACAATGAGATCGTCCAGAAGATTTTCAGGAGATTCTGAAGTCGTCTATAGGCCGTGGTTGAAGTCAATGGCGATTTTATTGAAGGAATTTACTCTTTAATATTTCAAGATAATTTTGTATAATTTTGGTAAATATATCTGTTAAAATGAGATGTTAGTGTTATGTTTTTTTTATTATTATTATTCCAGTGTCATTTAGATGACAATTTATCCAAACCACTATGTACACGAGAATTTCACATCCACATCCAGCCGGGTGTCTGGATGCCCTCGTGTGTTTACATAAATATATATATATATATATATATTGTCTGTATTTAGGCAGCATCTTTTCATTCATGCACGTTTAATTGGTAACAGAAGCCATTGGTTTATACCAACGGCTTCCCATACTTCTACAATTCACTCTCGTGTGGTCATGTGTGACGTCATGAGATGCGGTGCGATTTTCGCTTCTAGCGTCTTATATGCACGTGTTTATCGTTTGCCTAGAAATCATCTATGTAAACAATGACAGACTATCATCACTGTCGTGTCTGTATATTGCTTAATATGTTGTAATTGACATCTTTGATAATGGCTTATGTAAGCTGAAAGCTTAGATTGTATTAAAAAAAATAAAAAAAAAATATGGATCAATATTGTGAATTTCTTCGTTCAACGATAATGTTATTAAACTTATCAGACGTTACGAAAAAAAATTACATAAAATAAATAGACAACACTTGTCTATATTATTTAATGAAACGTGCATGAATATATATATATATATATATATATATATATATATATATATATATATATATAGCAGATCAGTTTCAGGAAACCGACAGCCCGACACCGGCACATGAGATTTGATTATAGTGGTGAAGGCCTCGTGCAGGACCATCCACACTTTTTTGAAGGGAGGAATACAGAGACCTGCTGCACTAAGTGCCACAAGGTTCCCAAACGACCCTCCGCAGGTTTTGAATTCAGAGTTGTCCTTCTCCTAAACCAGTTGCCATCCAAGGCTATAGAACCCAATCTGTCCTGCTATTTTACCCATAGCTGGAGGGAGAGGATTCATACCTTTCCCAAAGGGTATTAGCATATATATATATATATATATATATATATATATATATATATATATATATATATATATATGTGTGTGTGTGTGTGTGTGTGTGTGTGTGTGTGTGTGTGTGTGTGTTTGTGTGTGCGTGCGTTGTAGTGGGAGGATTAGAAGATTCCTTTCGATTTTTATTACTTGGAACATGGGTTTATTTCAGCCATCGCCTATAAAATCAATAGAAAGCAGGTGTCATTTGTTCAGTCATTTATAGTGGGAGAATTACTCATTCCTTGTGGCCGTATCGGCAGTTTGTTCATTGGATCCAGTCATTTTGGGTGTCATTCAATAAATTCCATAGATTGAAAACTTTCAGGTCAAGTGTTGTCAAGTCAGAAAGAAAGTGATCGTCTAGATGGTGAGGAATACATTCATGTGTGCAATGAATAATCGCCTATACATTTTCGAATATATTTCTTTATTCGGGGTGTTAAACACTCTTCCATAGGACATCTCGATGTACACAATAGGGGAAATCAAAAATATAAAAATGTTTCTTCGTGGTGAAATTATGAAGATTCTACATGCATCCATTGCCGTATGAGAATTCAAAATTAGCATGACGATTGTAAAAATAAAATAATCGAAAAGATTGCAACAAAATATAAGGAATTATCAGAACATCAAGAAAATAATGTGAATGACTCACTTAATTATTGATCAACCAAGAAACAATAGTTCATGTTTACAGATTATGAAGTCATTGTATGCAAGATGTTAATGAAGATAGTCTATTATTTTCATGAGAAACCTGGGCTAATTTTGCACATATGCAATCATTTTCGGGAGTCTAGTTGGATAAAATCTATACATTATTCAATATTACAGTTGTTGAAAATTTACGAAAATCGGAATATGAATTTGTTTTTCAATTATTTATCACCAAATATTTTGCTTAACAACCTTTTGTTTAATAGTAAATGTTATTTTTTTTTTACCTAAACAGTAAATGCCGTTTATGCAGACAGCTATATATTCTTTATATGAAGATAAAAAATATATTTAATTTTTTTTATGCTGCATCACATAAACAAATGGCGACCTAATTTGACTGTATTCTTGTTATGTCCCAATTAAATAGAATCTATTGTATTTGTCAATGTAAGCCATATACGTAATGCATATGATCAATTCAAAATTAGCAGGAAATTGGATTGGCTAATATAATATCTAAGGAAAATGAAAATATATTGATTGGTTTTAGTGGGAAGCGTACAGAGTTTGTTGTTTTCTGACGATGTGAGATTAGAAGACAATCATAAAGATGTCATGTTTTCATCTTTTGTTTTGGATTACCAAACTGTTTAGGATTAAAAAAATGGTTCATCGTTGACTAAATGCTTTCTAATTTTCTTTTATAGGACTCTAAACGTGCAGCGGATGCTGTAACTAGATTCAAGATCAGTTAATTTGGCATGTCACTACTGCGCATTTTAGAAACACGCACAGTTATTTGTCGATCGATGCATAATTTTCATCAGATATATCAATATCTTATAGCAACAACTACAGTTACTGATGTCTCT